GGAGTCACCCTGTAGCCTGAAGAAGCTACAAAATGTCTTCAGCAATACAGAAAAAGTCCAGCTGAATGTGACTAACTACTACTAAATATACCACAACAACCGGAATAAATGAGAACCTTCAAACATAGGTTAGGGTCCTTCCTGACTTTTTTTGGAACTGAAAAAATTACCTTAGAGGGGCTACAAAACATCTTCAACATTAAGAACATGTCCAGCTGAATGTGACTAACTATTAGTAAATGTACCAGACCTAAGTGTATAAGAACCTTCAAAGACACATAGGTTGTGGTGTCTTCCTGACTTATTTTGGAACTGAAAAAATACCTTGGAGAGGCTACAAAACATCTTCAACATTACAGAACAAGTCCAGCTGAATAATAAGTAATAAATATACCATGACCTAAATAGTGGAGAATGTTCAGAGACACATAGCTGGGTGTCTTCCTGACACATATTGGAACTGAAGGAATGAATTGGAGAATCCACGCCTTTCAAAACCATGAAATATGGAGATGTTATTGTCCAGCAACATGATGGGAGTTTCGAAAGTTGTGTAGCCACCCTGAAGCTTGGAGAACCTATGAAATGTCAGCATTACAAATCAAGTCCAGTTGAATGTGAGTGACTACTATTAGATATACTATAACCTGGATAAATAGGAACCTTGACAGACAACCTTACAGGCGTAATTTACATTCACCTTATATAAACACTAACATGCTAACTGCGCACACAGTTCTGGTCGCTGAATTTAACTAATTTTGTTTTTTTTAAATGAAAAGGCTGCAGGCAGATACTCCATTTGTAGCGGAGGGGTGGTGACTAAACGCACATAAAAAGCAGCTGTGCTGCGGGTTAGGAAAACCTTGAGACAACCATTATTTCTTCTTCCCTATACAAATAATGCAAGAGAAAATGACATGATAATGGCTCCACCTACTGTTACATTGTCTTTGTAAAATTGATTTCCTTTGCGGTCAGAAGATGTAAATGAATAGCTTTTTATGAGCTAGAAAGAGCGGACCAGCAGAGTGAGAAAGACAGTCATTTGTAATTTGTGTTTGTGCTGATGTAACTCATCTGGAAATGACAGAGAAGAGGGAGGAGAAGAGAGTCACAGAGCGGGCAAGAGAGGCGAGATGGAGATAGGCGACAGACAGCGAGAGAGCAAAGAGACCAGGAAGATGAAGATCAGTCATCAATAAAAGTGCACCTGTCACCTCTGACACTAAGCTATATCTTCATTCTCCAAAAATAATCCATACACATCCACTACTTAATAAACCATGTCATTTATTTCTGATTACATTTTTGATTAGATTATGTTTCTTGGTATGTTTTTCTTACTTCCTCCATGAACTTCCGATCCTCTCTTTTTCCCCCTTCACTTTCGTTTATTAGGACGTGCAGTGCATGTTAGTTGCGGTCACGTGCTCTGCTCTATGCACTCTACAGATCTGCACAACTGCCCTGTCAGAGTCTCCCCACTGGATCAGCATTGTAAGTTACACTGTATGTGCATTCTCAAACCAAAGTTCCATGAAATGCTAGGGTTCCTCCAGGGTTATTAGGGGTTCCTTGAGCTGTGGCTGAATGGCCTGCAGGCAGGCCCCTGAGATTGCAAGACATGGTTTCAATGATGCTAACCATCATTTAATAGTATCTATATAGTATTTACCAGTAAATACCATAGCAGCAATGAGATGAAACACAGAACTCTCTAGACCAGGGGTCTGCAACCTTTAAGACATAAAGAGCCACTTGGACCCGTTTCCGAGAGGGAAAAAAAGACTGGGAGCCGCAAAACCATTGCAACATTTAAAACAAATCCGACACTGCATATATTGCAAAAAGCGCTCTGGTCATGAAGGGGGTTTAAGGGCCCAGTAAGCAAAGGGTTAATCAGGGCCACAGTGTATCGTCATAATCACAATCATAGCCTTAGGTCAGTGGTGGGCAACCTTTTTTTCAACTGAGCCAAATCTCGCCAAAACCACGATTGAAATTTATTTTGAGAGCCACATTTTTAAAACTGAAAATACATCCCCCATATAGTAATTCATCCCCCATATAGTAATTCATCCCCCCTATAGTAATTCATCCCCCCTATAGTAATTAATCCCCCATATTAAGTCCCCAAGTCCCCCCTGTGTCAATTCACTTACCTTTGCTCCGCGCGTTCCTCTCGCCGTGTTCCAGCGCCGTTCCGGTGTAGCATGAAAATCTTGTCTCCTATGAGGATGTCCCCCCTCGACGTATCTGCGCATGTGCCAGTTTTCAGGCATTAGCAGCCGATCGGCGATCTCCGGCACATGCGCAGATACGTCGAGGGGGACAGATCCTCATAGGAGACAGATTTTTTCATGCTACACCGGTCTTCAGGGCGGACTGTGAGAGGAGCCTAGCTCCGCGGGCCGGATTAAAAGGTCCGCCGGGCCGTAGTTTGCCCATTGCTGCCCTATTGCCTGTCACCTGGTGGGCAGTGTGCTCCGGAGCCGCAGCCAAGGTGAAAAAGAGCCGCATGCGGCTCTGGAGCCGCGGGTTGCCGACACCCGCTCTAGACAGTTTTCAAAGCAGCAGTATATGTGCATCTATCCCTAGCCAGTCTCTAGAGCAGCCATTTTCAAGCAAAGTCCTGTAATACCATAGGGTTCCTCTACAACAGGAATATTGAAATACAATTCACAGAGGTCCAGTCATTAAGACTTTCATCCAGCAGAGGTCCAAGTCTCATCACAGCACCCCCTTTACAATACAACTCCCCTTTACAGTACAGCCCCTTCTTTACATTACAGTAGGGGTTCCCCAAGACCTGAAAACTATTTTAGGATTTAATCCAAGGTATAACAATAATATTGATAACCCCTTCAGTAGACTATCACCCAAGTATGTATATTAACACCTTAGTAACCAGACTCTAGAGTATGTACAGTGACACCTTAGTAACCAGTCACCTGAGTACTGTATTTGCATTGACATCTTAGTAACCAGTTACCCGAGTATGTACAATGACACCTTAAAAACCAATCACATGAGCACTCTATTTGCATTGACGTCTTAGTAACCAGTCACCAGATTATGTGCATTATTTATTATATATTTATTTCAGGTACTTATATAGCGCCATCAATTTACACAGCGCTTTACATATATATTGTACATTCACATCAGTCCCTAACCCTCAAGGGGTGTACAGTCTAACATTTTAGTAACCAGTCACCAGAGTATGTGCATTGACACCTTATTAACCAGTCTCCAGAGTATGTGCATTAATGCCTTAGGAACCAGTCTTCAGGGTATATGCATTGAACCCTCAGTGGCCAGTCTCCATAAAATGTGCAATAAGTGTGTGGCCAGTCTCTAGAGCAAGGTTTCTCAACCAGGATCCCATGGAACCCTAGGGTTCCTCCAGAGGTTGCTAGAGGTTCCTTTAACAATGAGCAATTTCTGCCTCTCAGACAAGTTCCCACTGACACAATTGATCTTTTTAGCTATTTGTAAGAAGATAGTGCTCTTCCCAATGTCCACAAGTGTAAGGCCCATTTTTCCCACTGACCATCACACTAATGTATCATGGGTTATAGATGTAGTAATGCTTAGCAGGGGTTCCCTGAGACCAGAAAGATATTTCATTCTGTGATGGAAAAGGTTGAGAGGATGGAAAGGTTGAGAACGTAATTATAAGTTCATTGACTAATGACTAACTTCATCAATTCACTCAACAGACTGATGGGCCTGCAATGCATGGCACACAGCAATGATAGAATATGTAACAGGCATACTTTTGCTGGTCTTTGTAAGTTTCTATATTCATATTTTTCACATTCTGTCAAACAGACCCTTTAAACAAGGAGTCTGTGGGGGTGAGTGCTCCCCTATGCCATTTTTTTCTGTAAATTTCCATTAAATATACTAGAAAATATGTAATCTTCTGTTTAGCTGATATGTAAATTTAATTCAAATGTTGAAATGCAATACAAAACAAAATAAAACAAAGTGTTAACAACATGAACAAAGTTCTGGAAATGTGCAAAATTAAGAAACTTCATATAACTTACTTTAATCCACGTTTTACCCAAGTTAGTGGTATTCAGCAGGCCTTTCATTATGTCCCTGGGGTAACTTCCCTCTCATTGTCCAATACATGCAAGTAATGCTACACTGGACTTCGATAGGGGGTAGTGAAAGGAGCAACTGTCCTTCCTTGTTCAGTATCAGGCTTTGGGCCCTTCAAAAAAAAAAGGAATGCTAGTACATGTATATATTGAGCTGGGATGGCAGCTATGTGTGGAGAATAAATGCCATCATATAATCTAGAGGCCATCAATAGGGATACTATGCCTTCTAGGGTCACCTTGATGTTTTACCGAAAGGTATCTTTATTTCTTTCTTTAGAAAGTTACTTGTATTAAAGACCTTGCATACAGATCTCTATCCATTATCATATAGAAAGAAAGCATCTTTTGCTCCCTCTTGAGGTCTCCTGAGGACATTGCATCACACAGTTAATACTTTTGGCCCATACAATTCCTTATTATCCACTTTTAGCCTTTTTTATTCATTTTTTTTACAAGGCCTTTCTGTACTCATAAGGGATATGAATATTTGTACTCTCTGCATAATGAACTTCATTTATTGAAGGCTATTTTCTTTGGAACACAATGCCGCAGCTCGTCAGCAAGAGATTCAAATTGGGAATATTGGTTTCCCCATCATGACATAATTTTTGCGCTGGCTGTATCGAGTCACATTCAATAAATGAATAACTGGACTGCTGCCCCAGAAAACAGTTATGTTCCAAGATAAACAATGAGACAAATACAAGAAATAAAACGTACGCCAAGTAAGCTGTCCTAAAACGAAAACTTTTGTTACATTTTTTTTTCCGTTTTCTCCAGCAACCTTTTTACCCTTAGAGGAACCCTTGAAATCATTTTTAGGTCCCAGGCTATCCCAGCTAAAATTAAATAACTGGAGTCAGAGGGAAGAAGGATCCATACATTGGTGAAGAGTGGGAAGAATGTCCCTTACATTCGTGATTAGTGAGCAGAATGTTCCTTACATTGGTGGTCAGTGAGAATGATTCCCATTATATAGATAGCCAGTGGGAAGAATGCCCCTCACACTGCTGGTCAATGGGAAGAACGTTCCCTACATTGGTGGTCAGTGGGAAGAATGCCTCTTACACTGTTGGTCAATGGGAAGAACGTTCCCTACATTGGTGGTCAGTAAGAAGAATGCCACATAGATTGGTGATCAGTGGTATGAATGCCCCTTACATTGGTGATCATTGAGAAGAATGCCCCTAACATTGGTGACCAGTGAGAAGAATGTTCCTGACATTGATGGTCAGTGGGAAGAATATCCCTTACATTGATGGTCAATGTGAAGAAAGTCCCTTATATTGATAGTCAGTGGGAAAAATACCTCTTTGATTGGTGGTCAGTGGAAAGAATGTCCCATACATTGGTAGTCAGTGGGAAGAATGCACCCTTGCAAAAAGCTAAAAAGATCATTGGTGTCATGTCAATGGCTCTACTAAATGGTGTTGGACAAAGAATAAAGCAGGTACCATCAGATGAGTGGTCAGTGAGAAGAATTTTCCTTTACATTGATGGCCATTGGAAAGAATATCGCCCTACAATGGTAGTCAGTGGGAAGAATGCCCTTTACATTGATGGCCAGTGGAAAAACATTCCTTACATCAGAGGTCAGTGGGAAGAATGTCCCTTACATTGGTGGCCAGGGGAAAGAATGTGCTTTACATTGATGGTCAATGAGAAGAATGCTTCTTTTCTTGATGGACAAAGGGAAGAACATTCCTTGCTTTGGAGGTCAATAGGAAGAATGTCCCTTACATTGATGGCCAGTGGGAATAAGATTCCTTACATTGGAGATCAGTGAGAAGAATGTTCCTGACATTGATGGCCAGTGGGAAGAATATCCCTTATATTGATGGTCAACAGGAAGCAGGAATACACTGAAGTAAAGTAGGCTGAGCAGGCCTCCAACCTGTCAACTACGCTTGATTGTAGTCTTTTGACGGAGCCTGCTAGCTGTCCTTCACTTATTGGTGTGCAACTGGTCTGCTGCCATCCATCCATCCTGCTGCCATCCATCCATTGTGAGGACCGCGTCTCTCCAGCTTTTGCAGTTTTGCAGTATTTTACCTGCTTGTTTTGGGTGTGTTCGTTCAGAACAGCTTTGCTTTTACATCATACACCAGGCAGGAACATTTGGATATCGGGCTATGTATCTCCAACAGTTTTATCACCACTTTACGACTCATCCCTGAGATCTCCAGAATACCGGAGGCTAAGTACTCTGGCCAGAAGTATATGCAGGAGGCGTCAAGATTGTAAACAAAGGCGGGGCGCGGAGGGCTGAAAACTTTCATTACCCAGCATTTCCTTGCTAATGTGCAGTCATTGGCTCCACATCACCTACAGTAAGAGACTTATGGACTGTAATGTCATGATTTTCACTGAAACATGGTGCCATACCTGACAATACTATTGAGCTAGCCCGACGTTATACATTTCTGACTGATAGGACAGCTGATGACTCCGGTAAGACCAGAGAACTGTGCTTGGTGTATGGACTGTGTCACTGTTGGTAGACACTGCTCAGTTAACCTAGAGTTTCTCATGGTTAAGTGTAGGCCTTTTTATCTGCCTAGAGAATTTACTTACACCATTAAAACTGCAGTTTATATTCCCCTTGACACAAATGCTAAGCTAGCTATGAATGAAGTGCATGCAGCTATTAGCAAACAACAGACTGCATACCCGGAGGCTGCATTTATTGTTGTGGGTGATTTTAATCACTCAAACTTAAAGACAGTGCTCCCTATATTTCACCAGCATGATTCCTGCTATACAAGAGGAAACAAAACTTTGGATTATGTTTATACAAACATATCGGGAGCTTACATTGCGACCCCCCCTCCCCATTTGCGACAGTCAGACCATTTCTCCTTGTTTCTCATACCCAAGTACTTACCACTTATCTGATGGGTGAAACCATTAGTGAAGACCATTAAAATGTGGCCAGCAGGGACAGACTCCATTCTTCAGAATAGGTTTCAACAAACAGACTGGAGAATGTTTGGCTCTCAGGCTACCTGTGGCTCTTATAAGTATATGAACACCTATACCCCCTCTGTGCTGGACTATATTAGCATCACTATTGATACTGCCACAACACAGAAACAGATCACCACGTACCCAAATCAGTGGCCATGGATGAATAAGGAGGTGCAGCTCCTGTTGCGGGCTCGTGATACTGCTTCTTAGATCAGGTGATGCGCAGGCCTACAGTACATCCAGAGCAAACTTGAGGAGAGGCATTAAAAGGGCCAAGCACTGCTAAAAGCTGAAGGTAGAGGAATACTTACCTAACTCTGACTCCCAGCGTATGTAGCAGGGTATTCAAGCCATCAGTGATTACAAGCCCAGTAAATCAATCCGGACAGCCACAGGTGTCTCTTACCTCAACAGCTAAATTACTTGTATGCTCACTTTGACCGAGATAACAAGGAAACAGCAATCAAGATCACTCTCTCTGCACACCACCAGCCCTAAAGGCTGCATTCACACTTGAGCGTTTTGTAGGAAGCTCCAAGCTCCAAAAAAGCTCAAACGTAAGAAATCAGTTGTTCTCTATGATGCCTGTTTGTGCAATCAGATGTGAACAGGCACCATAAAGAACAATAGATTTTTTAGGTTTGAGCTTTTTTGGAGCTTCGAGCTTCAAGCTACAAAATGCTCAAGTGTGAATGGAACCTCATACTCACTTCCACAGCTGTCTATGCTGCATTGTGCCGAATCAATGCACACAAGGCTGCTGGCCCCGATGGCATCCCTGGATATGTGCTCAGGGCATGTGCTGGTCAGCTTGCTGAGGTTTTTATGGACATTTTCAACCTGTCTTGCCCAAGCAGCTGTGCCTACATGTTTAAAATTTACCTGCACTCACATGCGTAGTTATGAAGTGCTTTGAATGACTGGTCCTGGCACACCTGAAGGATGGCCTGCCATCTACATTGGATCCCTACCAATCTGCATATCGTAGCTCTAGAAGCATAGAGGATGCAGTCTCTATAGTACTGCACTCTGTGCTCACACATTTGGACAACAACAACACATATGCAAGAATACTGTTTGCCGACTTCAGCTCAGCATTTAATACAGTCATACCCTCCAAACTGACCACTAAACTTGGAGATTTGGGCATCAGTACCTCAATTTGTAACTAGATACTGGACTTTTTGACCAGCAGACCTCAGTATGTCAGGTCATTCCACACCTGCTCCACCACCTTCACCTTCAACACCAGTGTACCACAGGGTTGTGTGCTCAGCCTGCTCCTCTACTCCCTCTTCACCCATGACTGCAGACCTGTGTATGGTACCAACTCCATCATCAAGTTTGCAGATGACACTACAGTGATTAGCCTCATCAGAAACAAAGATAAGATAGTCTAGTCTTGCGTGATGTGTGGACAATAACTTGCTCCTTAACTCCACCAAGACTAAAGAGCTTATTGTGGACTTCAGGAGGGAGAAAGGAGGCATACATGACCCCATCCACATCAATGGGATTGCAGTTTCAAGTTCCTGGGGATCCACAACTTTGAGGACCTGTCCTGGACTACTAGTACCTCCAGTCTGGTCAAGAAGGCACACCAGTGACTTTTCTTCTTGAGGACATTGAAGAGGAACCATCTATCCTGGTGAACCTCTACCGCTGTGCGATAGAGAGTATCCTCAACAGCAGTATTAGAGTCTGGCATGGAAAATGCACTGTCGCTGAGCGTAAGGCACTACAGCAGGTAGTGAAAACTGCCCAATGAATTATAGGGATTCCACTTCCCGTCATTGGGAATGTCCAGAGGAAATGCTGCTTGAGCCGAACTCACAGTATTCTCAAGGACTCCTCTCATCCTTCACATAGACTTCACATAGTGTACATTTTTTTGTTTATTAAAAATCTTGCAAACAAATAACATCATAAAAAACATATTTACATATATACAGAATAAAATATATATAATTAAACAATACCAGCTTACTTCACATAGTGTAATCTCCTGCTTTCCAGGAGGTGCTTCAGGAGCCTTTGGACTAAAACCACCAGACTTAGGAAAAGCTTCTTTCCTACAGCTGTCACATTACTGAACTTTGCTCCCCGTTGATCCCTTATTCCCCTATACACTTATCTCCCCTTCTCATTTCTCCTGTGTATTCAAACATTGTCGTCTGGCATACGTTCTCATTTCACTCATTCGTGTAATAAGTATTATGCATTAGCTTTACATTCATTATTCTTAATTATTCATAATCTGTATATTATGTCCATAGTACTTCGATTTACATATTAGTCTATAGTACTTCCACATGTACATTATGTTCATAAATAGTGTCTATCTTGTACATATTGCAGACACTGTATATTTTGAACTGCTTATTGCATCTCTGGTTAGATACTAATTTTCGTTGCCTTGTATTTTTACATTTGTAATGACAATAAAGTTGAATATAACAATCTAATCTGATCCAATTTAATCTAATCTAATCAATGTGAAGAAAGTCCCTTATTTTGTTAGTTAGTGGGAAGAATACCTTTTTCATTGGTGGTCAGTGGAAACAATGTCCCATACATTGGTGGTCAGCGGGAAGAATGCCCCCTTACAAAGATCATTGGTGTCATGCCAGTGGCTCTGCCAAATGGTGTTGGACACAGAATAATGCACATCAGATGAGTGGTCAGTGAGAAGAATTTTCCTTTACATTGATGACCATGGGAAAGAATATTCCCCCTACAATAGTAGTTAGTGGGAAGAAAGCCCCTTACGTTGATGGCCAGTGGGAAGAACATTCCTTGCATTTGTGGTTAGTGGGAAGAATGTCCCTTACATTGGAGGTCAATAGGACCAATTGGAAGATTGTCCCTTACTTTGATGGTCAGTAAGAATATTGCCCCTTACATTGATAGTTAGTGGGAAGCATACTCCCTTATAAACAGCTAAAAAGATCATT